CCCTACTTTTAGCAGTGCTCACGATTTAGGTTTTTTCCACCTTTGCCATAATTTGGCGTTAGGCAAAGAATTCCTGGAGGAAGAAGATCCTACTTCATGAAAGACAGCATCTGTTACGTGTGGTTATGTGCAGCACATATGTGAAAGGAAAACAGAGAGGAGAAGAATGAGTAAGGAGGGCTTCATGTGTACAGATTTGCCGCTCAAGCCCCTGACGCAACGCATCGCTTCGACATGAAGCCACGCTCTGTGCACGAAAGGACATGACCATGAGTTCCTACCTGGATCAAATTATATCCCGTTCGCTGAATTAATGCACGGAGGGCGGCTTCTTTCTGTGTGCCGGTCAATCCATCCCCGGATTTGTGATTTGATTCCATTGTGAGTGATTATCAGCAAAAAATCAGGTTAATTAGGGGTGCTCACTGCAATCAAATTTAAGATAAATTAAATAAATTAATATGGCTGGGAGGAGAAAGTCCACCCTCTTGAGGAAGTTAACAAGGTCGTTCTTCCTAAATCAGCTGTTTTGAGATAAAAACAGAACGAAACACCACAGGCTGTGGAAAAAGCAGAAATATCCCCCTCACGTTGTGTGAAAATAAATAGCATTTAAACCCACAGGCAGATTTCAGACAGCACTCCATCAAGACACAGAGGGATCAGTGCATGTGTCGTAACGAGGAACCACAGGTAAGATGCCTAATCCTGCTCTGAGCAGACGGTGATGAATCCTTCGTGCCATTACATCCCTTTGATGCTGAGAAGGGATCGTTCTGCAAAGCAGATCTGGCATTTCATGAAAAGCAAGGCCTAGGTCCATATCTAGCCTATTTTTAAAAATCAAGGACATGGGAGAATTTGGACATTTTTGTTTCAGAGCGGTAGTTTTCAGTCATAAAGTATTATTTTTCAAGTTTTGGGGGTTGGGTTGAAAACACCATAAAGCTGAAATCCGAATCAGGTTATACATTGGTGAAGGGTCATTTAAAAGATGGACTTGCTCGTATTTCAGGCTGCCCCATTTTTCCTGCATGCTGAGCTTTGGGCTTGTGCAAAACCAATCTGTATGAGCCAGATACAGAAACAAGGGTCCTTGAGGACTTATGGAAATGGTTGATGCTGAACATCAAGAAGAGTAAAACTGGTCGCTTCCTTGGGTCCTTGTGGCCAGGGCATGTTAGGCAATCATGTCCTCCAGAATGATTGTTATTGCCTTAAATTGCTTTCAGGTGTACAAAGGTGGGGGCAATGATAAGTGCCAGGCTCGCTTGGAGAGCAAACAGGGACAAAAGGGGCTGGGGTGGGTGTACTGGGATGAGGAGGATGGGGCAACCCATGACCCCCAACCACGGCACAGGGATGGGGAAGGGCAGGTGAGGAGCGGAGGCAGGGTGACGGAAAGGTGGAAGGAGGGTGGATTGCTGTGGCTGCGCCCTGAGCTGAGGCCAAATTTTGGGGAGAGGACCCTGCCCAATCCCCTTGTACAGCAGGCCTGTTGCTGCACTTAAGGCGAGCGCTGCGCATGAAGAAATACGGGCAAAGCGCAACGTGTCTGGCTGCGGCAGATATTCTGAGCCTGCCACGATGCTGTGGAAATGACAGAAAAAGCCTTTTCCAATAACCATCTGTTTAACACAAAATCTTTTACTAGGATGTGCCGCTTTGGGGCTTCGTTGAGGGAAGAGCTAAGACTTGAGCCTAGCCACTTTGCCTTTGGACATGACTTGCTCTGTGCGCCTTTATCTTTGTTACCTGGAAGACTTAAACAGGTGCTTTAAATTTAACTGGATGGATTAATCTCAGCACCTAAACTGGCACATGAGCAAGGGTGTTCGGAAGATCTCAGCTGTGGACCCTGCATCGCCGAGCTCCAAAGACCACGACTTAAATACTTGGAAACAGAGACATCCCTGTAATGCCAGATTTTGGAGCTATTTATTGCTGAGGTTCATGAGGCCCTTCTGATTTTTTTTTTTAATTTTTTTTTTTGCTGGTCTCCCAGGTTCTCTGGTATAGCTCTCTCCTGTTTCTAATTCCAAAGCATTTTCTGCAGCAGCTGGAGCCCGATTATTGTTTTGGTTTGTCCTGCTAAGGGTAGCATCAAAACCCTGTTGATGCTTGTGGTTTCTGTGGCTGCCGGCTCCTCCGGAGTTGGGGTTCGGCACGGCATGGATCAGTATTAGCATGCTGCTGTGCAAAAATGAACCAGATGCTTTTGCAGGGTGCTTAAGAAGGAAAAAGTGGTCGTTCAAAAAACCTGCCCCACAGTTAAAATCAAAATTGGTTTTGCATCCTCCCCTGCCTGGACAGAGACGCCCTACAGGGGAAAGCTTTGGCATCCTGCAAACTTGGCCCCTTACATTTCACTTTTTGCTGCAGCCTGATTTCATCAGGGGTTTGAGTGATCAAATTGCGGCACCTGGTGCAAATTTGCCCAGCGCTCCACAAGTCTCTGTTGGCCCTCGTGTCTGAATTTGAGCCCATCCTCTGGTACCCAACGGCCAGGATGGAGGTGGGGGACAAAAAAAGGATGCCTGTGTTGGGGAGATATCTCTAATATTCACTGTCTTGAACAGCATAATTTGTTTTTTCTTTGCTATCAGGTGTGTCAGGGACCCTCTTCCTGGCGCGGGGGCTGCCCTGGGCATCAGGGAGGGGGTAGAAGGAGCGCATCTCCCCGTGCCCGCGCTGTCTCCTCTCTGTGCCGGGAAAGCAGCTGGACTGCAGCCAGGCAAACCTCGGCGGCTTTCCACAGCACCTGAGGTTTATAGTCTGTCCCTGGCTCCGACCTAGATAGATGAGTAGCGTAAGAGCCTTTTTTTCTCTCTCCCCCTGCCCCACAAATTGCATTATTTCACGCTGCACTTCCCTACAGGCTAAGTGCCTCAGCAGCTGCTGCTTTGAATGCGTTTGCACATGGAGCCTTAAATGCCATACGTCTCTGTGCCTGTCCTCCAGGGAGGAGTAATTTCCAGTAACATCTCACTCCAGGTGATGGTCTCACAAGCCACGGAGCTGGGGGATGGACGGGAATAGAGCATCTCCCTAGCTGATGCATTTGCAGCAGGAGTAATATCCCTCTTCAGCTTCTGCCTTATTAGATAAAACCAGGCAAGCTCTTCTGGGCTCTTCTTGTAAGGCATCCTGCAGATTTTTTAGGCTCTGGACCAGCATGTCTAGACACTGGTGAGTTCTGGGACACACTCAAGCAATCTGCTAGGAATAAGGGAGCAAGAGCATTCAAGGTTGTGCAAGGTGTTAGAATCATAGAATCGTAGACTGGTTTGAATTGGAAGGGATCCTTAAAGGTCACCGGGTCCAAACCCCTGCAGTGAGCAGGGACACCTTTAACTCGTCCAAGTTGCTCAGAGCCCCATCAAGCCTGACCTTGAATGTCTCCAGGGATGGGGCTTCTACCACTTCTCTAGGTATTAATCACTGCTGCTGCTAAATCCAGTGTTGGAGACTTCCATGCAATTTTTTTGAAAGCATGAGAAAAATCAGTCACCCTCACTCCAGGTCGCCTCCAGCCTTGACCCTGCAAGTCTCCACTCCTAATTCAAGAGGGCGGTCAAACAACCCTGCACACTCGGGGCTTCGGACGCGCATGTGGGCGACCCGATGGACCACCCCTAGAAATTTGGTCCCTTCTACTAATCACCAGCCCCAAGTCATTTGCAGCTCATTTATAAGCCTTGTCGCTAGAGAACTTTCCTCCGTCAGTCGGCTTTCCCAGGGATGGAAGCAGAAGCTGTACCCCTCTTTTTAAAGTATAAATCCCAACACAACAAATCCCAAGCACAGGAAAACAGACTTTCCAGCTCCCAATTCTCCAAGTACCTCTTCTCTCCTGCCTCCCTTGGCTGGAGGACATTGAAATACCTTCTTGGGTGGGCAAGGCATTTTCCCACCTCTGTCACCCAAGAGTCTAAATCCATCGGTGCATCCAGCTGTTTCCTGCATACAAGTCATGGCGGCATGTTTTATTTCTGAGACTAGTGGGATTTCCACGCTTTCCCCTTGTTCCAGATGTCAGCCGTGCCAATGTGCTGCACTATATTTTTTTTTATCCTTCAGGGTAAGTGGGGAGAGCTACTTTCACGGGACCTGGGGAAACCTGATTACTTTCTCTCGTTCTTTGTTCCCTGGGCCATTAAGCAATTAGCAAATCTACCCTCACAGGGGGAAAGCTCCTGTTCCATGAGTGTTGTTGGAAAAGTGTGAATGACTGCAGCAGATTAAGGCAGTATTTTTAGCACTATTGAAACAAAATAAACGAAACAACCACCCCAAATAGAAATAATTGTTCTGGAATTTAACCATTTTGGGGGGTTTCACCTTTGCTGTCAAGGATGATAAGATGAATCCATTATTCTAAAAAGAAATGGAGAAAAGAAATAAAAAGAGGAGGGGAGGTTGTATTTTATTTTGGTGTTTATATTGAAATTAGGACCTTCAGAGGCGCAGACTGTCCAGGCGCGCTTCCTATTGCATCCTTATTTTTGACCAATCCTCTCAAGTTATCACCATCACCGAATCAAGAACCCCACATCATTAGAAACGGAAGGTACAGCTTTTACCTTAAGTCAGATCATCACTTCATTCGAATTTCCTCTCTCCATCAAATGCGTGCCTTTATTTTAGGTTTCTATAAAAGCTATTTATTTATTTTAGGTTTCTATTAAGCAAAAGTGCTTTTATGCCTTGCAAACCCCATAGAGACAAGGAAAAAACTGGTGATACTCTTGCCTCACCTCTCCATGACATGCTTTCCTTGCCAGCTACTCCAGGCAGATCCTAACGCTTTACTCCAACCAGTCAGGAGCAAGATGAATCCAGCAGCTTTTGCCCCCTAAAACCAATGGGTTTTATTCTTTACACCCCCACCGCTTTTGCGCCGTGCGTCTGCCCCTTTTGCAGCCCTTTTCGGGGAAGCCTGGTTACTGTTTCCATGAGCGAGATAACGAAACTGTGTTTATCCTGCTCAGATCAATACACTTTTGTGTTCAAATGTGTCGAGACACTTGGATGCATTTAATGAAGGCAGTACAGATCCCGCTCGCTGGTGCAACGGCTCCTCGCAAAGAACAACAGCCTTTGAGAAGGCTGGATAAGTCTATTCCCTTTTTACCTTAAATAACTCACACAGATAGTTACTAAAGAAATTATTTTCCTTTAGGCCATCAGCTTGCTTTTCAAGGTTTTGGATTTTTTTTTTCCCTCCCTTCAGGCTCCAAGCAACAAAAATAACGAAACGTTCTTCATATTCTTCCTAAAAACACAGCACTTCACAAGCTCTTTGCTGGGGTCAGACACACCATGGGATGGAGTCCGATTGAGCAATGCGACACAAGCCTTCAGTCCCTTTGCTTTCCAG